GTCAGGGGACATTCAGTGGAGGAAAGAACATGAAGGATGCTTTGGGGAAAGAGACTGGTTAAAACTAACGTATTAATTGACCTGCCGTCAATGCATTCTCTCTTCTGATACCTTAGTGCATTAGTTACGACCAGTTAAACGGGGCCTTGGGGCTGAGGAAGAGTCAGAACACCCTCATAAAACCAGGAGCTACTCTTCCTTGAACCTTCTCTTGCTCAGTACCAGAAATGAGCTGGGTCTGATCTACTGAAATCAGTGCAGATCGCTGGACTCCTCTGTGGAAAATGCTTCCATGCTACTACAGCAGTGCTTCTCAAACGTCAATGAGTCACCTGGGGAATCTTGTTAAAATGCAAGTTCCCACACAGTAGGTCTGGAGAGGGGCCCGGCGTTCTGCATTTCCAATAAGCTCTCCGTGCTGCTAATGCCGCTGGTCCCTGGACCACCCTTGCAGTAGCAAGGCAGCAGAACATCTTTAGTTGCCGTTATCAGGGGATGATATAAAAAGCATCGTTTGGGGGGTCAGAATGCTCAAACTCAAGATTTGGGCCTCAGTGCACATTGAGAGGCATGAAAGGTAAAGTTAAAAGAGGAATGAGGCTCCTGAAAGAGTGAGGAAGAACAAGCCAAGTTTTGTAAGCTGGAGGTGATGGAAAACAAGAGATAGCAACAAAGCAAAAGACTGGCTGGCCTGTTGCTCATTAGAATAAATAAATAGGTGATAAGAGAGGCAATAAAAATTATATGATTAGTTATAACAGAAATCATAAGGATAAAAGTAAGAGTGCCGCCCAACCAGTGTGGCTCCGTGGTTGAGCGTCCACCTATGAACCAGGAGGTCACGGTTCGAGTCCCGGTCAGGGCACATGCCCAGGTTGGGGGCTCAATGCCTAGAGTGGGGCATACAGGAGGCAGCCAATCAATGATTCTCTCTCATCATTGATGTTTCTACCTCTCTCTTCCTCTTCCTTCCTCTCTGAAATCAATTTTAAAAAAAAGAGTCTGGAGAGGGGTTAGATTGTTAGGAATTATTTTATAACAATGTTAAGGGAATCCAGAATAGTGAATACAAAATATTATTTGGGGGTGGTTTTTTTTCCCTTTTCATAAATTTAAGGAAAATTTTATCACTTTTTTGCCCAAAACTATGGGTGTTAGAGAATGAAACATAAATGTGATATGTAGCAACAAGATAGTCATTCACAACAACAGTTAGAAGACTTCTCCTCTGTGCTAAGCAGCATCTGCAGACCACATTATGTAAAGTGTAAAACACTTTCTACAGAAATGCAATTATGGGACTCACAGCGACTCCCCTGCCCAAAAAAGCAGTCTGAAAACTGCCAATGTGTAGCAAATTCTGTCTTTTCTGGGAGTATTTTAAGAAAAGTGGTGGAGAAATCTTTGAAAGGCAACAGTTACTAATTATATTCAGACAAGTTTCCTTTCTTTCCCTCCCCTCCGCCCCCCCAAAAAAACATAGAAGCTCCTTGAGAGCTTTCTTTTCCTAGACATGGCCAAGCATTTCACAATGCTCTACCTTAGGAAAACCTTCATAGACATGTTAACCAACCCAGAGGAAGGGAAGGATGAAAACACCATAATCAACCAAAGAGAAATGGAATTACCACCAAAACCAAGTCAGCCTTTTCTTCAGCAGGAAGGAGTGCTAGCTGTTGTCAACATGCTATTTAGTCAAGGATGTATGCTCAGGCACCCGAACTAGGAACTTTTCAAAAGAACTATGGTTTCTTTTCCTTTTATTAACAGTAGTCATTGCCAACAAACTCCAAGGGAATGTCTGTGATATTTGTCAGTTCTGACCTGTTATAATTTTTGACAGATTTCTATTTTGACTAGTTAAAGTTTGTGTTTTCTAAGTCACTTCAATGGTTTCCTCTATTAACTAACCTACAGAATGAAAGATTTCAACAGAAAAAAAAAGTGAAAATCTCAGCTAGTCCAATGCTTATCACTGTGCACGGAAGAAAAATGAGACCCGGTGAGACCAAAGGACTTAAGCAGGTCACCCAGACACCTAGATTGCCAGTATCACATGCTTTAGTCTTTACCAGCTGTCTCCTAGGGAGAGTCTTAATCTCCAGCTAAGGGTTAGATCTGGGTTACCTTTCATTCAAGATCAAGGTTTTGTGATAATTACATATTTGCAACTTCTTTTCAACTTGGCATGGGGCTTCTACACTAGGGAAATGATGAAGGGGTTTAGCTACATGGGGGCGGGGTGGGGGAGATGGTGATGTAACAATGCAGACTTAAGTCTGTTTGTCCACAAGAAGGGGAGAAGGAAGCAGCCATTATTATTTATTTTCTAAGTCAAAAAGCAAATACTACCATCAGGCATAGAGTCAGGTCTCATGGAAGCTGAAACTTTAAAATTTCAGGGACACTTTTTCAGAAAAAGAATACAAAAATTAAGAATAGAAATTTAGGTATGAAAGTGAATATTTAGAATTTAGAATGGCTTCTTACAAATTACATATCCTATATAATAAATCCCTAATATGCAAATCAACCGAACGGCACAATGACAGGTCGCTATGATGCGCACTGACCACCAGGAGGCAGATGCTCAATGCAGGAGCTGCCCCCTGGTGGTCAGTGCACTCCCACAGGGGAGCGCTGCTCAGCCAGAAGCCAGGCTCATGGTAAGGAGCGAGGGGTCCCGGACTGTGAGAGGGCGCAGGCCGGAATGAGGGACTGAGGGACTCCCCTCCTCCCCCGCCCCCCAGTGCACGAATGTTGTGCACCGGGCCTCTAGTTTAAAATAAAAGCTGTAAATTACACACATATAAAACCTAAAAGAAAACAAATATGTGTGTTAGTTAACTGCCCGACACACTTCTGAAATACTTTTACTACATTTTTTTTGGTTGCATACTGTTTGACCACCAGTTCCAGGGATATTTTGCAATATTGTCCACAGAGAAAACAGAAAAATAATTCCATCTTTCCTCTAGAGCTGTTAATCAGAATTTGTAATTTATTGTTGAAAAACTTGGAAAAGTTTCTTTCTGCTTCACAACTCATTATAAGTACTATCATATAAATGTTTGGAATGCCTCTCAATTTGGGATAACCTCTATCAAATTGCTTTTATATGTGAGCTGTAATATTCGGGGTACTGCAAGATTTCTTAAATATTCTTTAACTTGATGACACTCTTTAGCCACATTGGCAGGGCCCCATCCAGAGCCAGGAGATGGGCCTGTACCAGGGAGCAGACTTGAGTTAAATTCCATTCACTTCATGATAAGGTCTTCTTGGCACACCATATACATCCCCCACATATTTAGGCATCCTTGCATTCCCCCAATCCTCCCAAATAAAGTGGCTGTTCTGCTCAGAAAACCTAAGCTCTTTGATGCCATAACTATTCCATGATTCAGCCCAGACTATATCACCTGATGTATATATATTTCATTTCCCTGTTGAGATCACAAGACAGGCATGATGTTTGACTACTCTGAGTATGAATCAAACATCATTTTATTTAGCTAAAGAAAGTAAGTGGAATAACATATAAAACATGCTAAAGGGTTAGAAAAATGTTGAATATTATCATTATTTCTCTTAATCCCTAGAGTCTCCCAAAAGCCATGCTACAGTGGAGAAGTGATTTATGTCAACTGAGGTGGCCTAGTCTCAGTATAACATAACAATTAAGGTCTAGGGCCCCAAACCAGAGTATTATCCATTTGCTAATTGGGTGGCCTTCATTAAGTTTCCTAATCTCAGTCTAGAGCAGCGGTTCTCAACCTGTGGGTCACAACCCCTTTGGGAGTCAAACGACCCTTTCACAGGGGTCGCCTAAGACCATCGGAAAACACATATATAATTACATATTGTTTTTGTGATTAATCACTATGCTTTAATTATGTTCCATTTGTAACAATGAAATTGGGGGTCACCACAACATGAAGAACTGTATTAAAGGGTCGTGGCATTAGGAAGGTTGAGAACCACTGGTCTAGAGGACTTGTAAGGAGCATTATAAAATCTACCTCCTAGAGTTGTTTAGAAGGTTACATAATACAGATGAAGTGCTCAGCATGATCCAGGCAGTAGCAAGACCTCAGAAAGGGGTAGCTACATACATTATCGGGAAACCTGTCCAGAAGACTCCTCAGTAGAATCCTCAAGATAGGAACACCCCTCACAGGGAGCATGAAGCCAACTGCATTTCTGTGTAGAAAAGTTCTGGAGAGTTTTTAGAGTGGCCAGTAGTCCTCCACAAAGCAGCGGAGTTTCCTCCAAAGTCAATGAACCCTCTACAATGATTTACAACTGAAACAGATAGAGAGCTGCTGTGCATATGCTGAAAATATGCACCTGTCCCATATTTTTCTTCAAAGACATTCATGTTTGTTCTGCCAAATCCCTAGTTCTCTAAAAAATAAATTAAGAAGAAGAAGGGAGAAGGAAGGAAGGAAGGAAGGAAGGAAGGAAGGAAGGAAGGAAGGAAGGAAGGAAGGAAGGAAGGAAAGTTAGTTGACTTGCCATTCTTTATCTAGTTAATTGAAAGAAAGAAAGAAAGAAAGAAAGAAAGAAAGAAAGAAAGAAAGAAAGAAAGAAAGAAAGAAGAAAGAAAAGCATATATTTGACAACCCTATACCTGTTTCAGTGTCAGAGGGATTTTCACTTTACACTCTTCTAATATCTTGTTTCTTTAAAGAGTATTGAGAAGGCCATGGACTAGTCAAATATTTACAACAGTAGAAGAAAACATCCAGAGAAGCATTACCATGTTCTCTATACACAAAGAAAATGCAACGAAGGCACTTTTTTTTTTTATGTGTAATTGCAACAGCAAATTGAAGGAGTCCAATAAATAAAACTAAAGTTTCCTTCAGAAACATACAAACTATGAAAAACTGAATTTCCCAAAGAAAATACAACAGTATGATTACCAACTCTTAGCATTTTAATAATAAGCAATGTCTCTACCCCAGGGCAAATATGATGCAATCAAGGAAAACTACCTTTGTCCTCAACACCTCTGCACAGGAAGGTTGCTGAGGCCAGATCCACCACTGATACTGGAAGGCTCAAGGGCAAGAGAACAAATGGAGGTCCACATACCCAAGGTCAAGTACTGAAAGCTAAGAAAAGCAAACAGTTCAATAAAATAGGTTGTATCCTTCTACCTTGACTAACAAATATATCTTGGGAGACCAAGTACTACTTTAAAACTCTTGAACTACTCTAAGTCCCAGGCCTGGCCCGCAGTCTGCTTTCCTCTTTCCACTGCTTGGTTCCTCCCACATAAAGAGGGACCTGTGAGATGTGTATGGACAGCCAAGTTTTAACACATCCCACACATACACAGCTGTCCCTTAACCACCCCTCAGGCACACAGACCAGTGGCTATAAAGGCCTTGGGAAGAGAAAACCAATAGTCCATGTAGGTTGTAAATGCTGGTCCAGCACCATCTGGACCGTGAATTTGGGGTTCCCAGGTACCTGAAACATGATCTCAAAAGAGGGCAGAGTTTGGACTCAGAGGTCTGGAATCTGCTCACCCCATAGACAGGGGCTGGACCAGAGAAGAATAAAAGCAGTACCCGCTAAGGCCCATGATAGAGCTCCTTTTACTCTTATATGGTTGATGAGCTTATATTGGGGGGCTGGGGGAGAGGATATATCTCATCAGACATATTTTTTAAAAAGAGGAAGAAAGAACCACAAGTCTTGAAAGCAGGCAGCCTTTCCCAAATACAATGTCACCAGTCATAGGCACTTTGCCTGCAGCTAAATCCATTCTAATGATCTATAGCTTCAGCCCTGTAAACAGAACACAGATGCTAGGAAACCCTTAAGGGCTTAAGCAAGCCATCCCACGTTGACTGTGTCCAAGGAGGCAATTGCTCCATGTTGAGTGCCAACACCTAAAATGCTGATCAAGGCGAGGAAAAGGCCAGATCCCTTAGCCACCCACAAGTTTTCAAATTAGCTGGACCTCAAAAGTCAAACCGTCCCCCTTCACTGCGTAGGATAAATTCTGCTCTCTCTGCCCTGACCAGCAGTGGTCTGAGGCCTGTACACAGGGGCCAGTCCTCTATGCCTGGAATCTGGGGTTCAATTATACACCTTTGAAAACGGTACAGGTATAACCGCTGTAAATAGTCAAACCATGGGTCTCCAGCAGTGGGTCCCACCACCAAGATGCCATTATCAGATTAGGAACTGTAGTTTCCTGTGCAAAGAGACTCTCCCCCATCTTGATGTTCTGTTGGACAAAGATAATCAGGAAGGAGCCAGATCACGCAAGCAAAGCAAATCTTGAAATCAGGAGCACTGAACTTATGACATTAGCTGCTAAGTTTCCCCTTTCTCAAATGGAATGTCCCTTTACCCTCTCCCTAACTTCCATCTGAACACAGGCATACACACAGATGCATCATGAAAAAAAGCCTGCACAATGCAAGCAGGGCAAGCTTAGAAAACACACACACACACACACACACACACACACACACACACACACACATGCGCGCACGCAAACCTCAAGTGACCCTGAGCAGACTCCATCTTCCTAACTTATAAAATAATCACCCTTATCTTCCCAGTTTCCTCTGAAGATTAAATTAGGTAAGGAATGTCAAGCGGCTGGCTTAGAGCAGATTCTCCCTTCTCCCCACTTCACCCTGAGTTGAGCCAGTTTGCCTGCTCACACCCTTCTGACATGCCAAGCAAAGACAGTCATCATTATCTTGACTGTCAGAAGCAACAAGTACCTGGGGGGCAAAATATTTACAAGGAAAAGAGGGAGAGCAAAATGAGTGGTGAGCCTTCTGGCTGCTAATGAATATCTGCTATGTCATTTCTACTGAAAATCAGGAGTTAAATCTGCTGGATTAACCCCTGGAAGGATGAAGCTAACAAGGGGATACAGCTCTGCTTTTACGTGGAAATTGACTAAATGATGCCAAGCTGTAGCCAGGAACTGTTTCCTCAGCACCCTATCTTAAACCACGTTGGTGGTTTGCATCAGGCCTAAATAATGGCCACACTGCTCTTCAGCAGTCAGCGGCCCTAAAGGACCACCCTTCCCTTAGACCAACTCTGCTCAACTACTAATAAACCAAAACATAAAACCCTGATGAAAAGAAGGAACTTAGAAACTAAATTACGATTTCAGCACTCTTTTCCATAGCTCATCAGCATAAAAGAACCAACAGACCAGGGGTGGGGAATGTCCGGCCCACGGGCCATATAAGGCCTGGAAAATCATTGGGTCTGGCCCTGCCAAGGCATTGGGGGTGAATTAATTAAATGTCTGACCAAATACAGCAGGCTAATTTTAAGTAGATACTTCTGAATGGCCCTCAAGTGATGTTATAAATATCCAAGTGGCCCTGGGCAGTAGAAGAGTTGCCCACCCCTGCTGTAGACCAAACTCCCAAGGAAGAGTGACTGCCTGGTTGTTCAAATGCTTGACCCGGTTGCACTTTGTCCGGAGGGATGAAGGAGAGGCTGAGTTCAGCATTTCCTGGATAGTAAGTGATGCGCCAGGTACTGCAGGAGACCTGGAGATAGAGGAATGAATAAGCCACACCCCTTGCCTTTGAGAGAATTAAAGGCCTAATGGACAAGGTGATCACATAAAGATATAATTTTGGCTTACTATTGTTAACAGTTGTTACGAGCTTAAAAAAGAGGCCTAGCCCCAGGAGAGGGTATCAGCTCAACCAGAGGCATTCAAAGCAGGTTTCCTTAAAAAAAAAAGATGATATTTGAGTTAAGTCTTAAAGACAAGTGGAAATTATCCAGGTAGCAGGTATTCCAGACAGCACACTGAGCAAAGGCACAGGTGCCTGCACTGCTCACAGCATGTGTGCGCACGGTGGCAAGAGGGGACTGGGAAAGTGTGAGTCTTGGTGGGATGTTAGCTGCAGAATCAGAGGGGAACAGGTCATTGAGGGCCATGTTAGGCCAGATTCCGGCGTTAATAATAGGAAGAATAGAAGCTGGTATATATTGAGCATTTAGTATGTTTCAGGCACTATGTTAAGCACTTTCGAGTTAACAGTATTTCATTGAATCTTCAGCAGAACACCATAAACCCCATTTAACAAATGATAGCAATGACGGTCAGAGAAGTAACATCATTACAACAGGCTACACAGATAGTAAATGGGAGGTGGGTTTGGAACCCAGGGTAACCTGATTCCAAAGCTTGTACCCTATACTCCTCTATCTGCAAGTCTATGCTGGAAGAAAGACTGGATGGGCACATACGTATGGGTCTCTCAGGCTGGCTACAGACTGAAGAACTGAGGTGGCCCAATTGTGGCCCTGAAACAAGACCTGTATAGAAAAGAACAGGTCAATGAAAAAAATGTTCAGAGAGACTGAGAAGGAAACATTCAACATGTACCCACCCCCTAGCATTCAACAAGGAAGTGGACTTTGGACAAAGGGGTCTGGAAAATAAACTGCCAGTGTTCACTAATGCTTCCAAGTGTTCAGGATTAAAATGTGAATGTTCTCTTCACCTTCAACAGGCTGCCACATGTTAAACTCAAGGAGGGCAAAGGCCATGTCTCTTATTCAATGGCTGTCTCCTGGTCTGAGCCTCTTGCCTGGCACACGGAGGCACTATAAATACTATGAAGAAGGAAGAATGAGTAACGGCCACTTTTCACAAGGGCACCCAGGAAGTGTCATTCTTCATTGGAAAAATAGGGTTAAAGAATAAAGAAAACGTTTAAAAGTTGGGTTGATAACTGAGGACTGGTAAACTGAAATGCAAAACATGTAGCATTAATGCCGACTACACAGAGGACAATGAGGACTCATCACCGTGGGGTGCCATCTTCTATAAAAAGGCGAGGAATCCAGAATGTGATGAGTGTTTTGTATAAATCATAACTGGTTAAAAAAAATAAGATGTTATGAAAGGAAGTGACTTAGAAGTGAAAATGTGCTTTCTGGTAACAAAAGCAATGAGGCCTAAGATCAAATCCTGGGCCTACTGATTTCTGACCCTGACAAAACAAGCACATCATTAAAGTGACTTTAGGAAAAAAAGTTTATCTGTATGACACTTCTACCAACATTTGGTCAGCAACAAGCAACACTTGTTAGGTATTTGAAATATAAAAGTCACATTTTTCAGATTGGAAGAGTTTTCCAACATGTAAAGTTTTCCCTCAAAAGAGCAATTAGTTAATTCTGAGCATTTAAGGAAAAATGAATTTATTAATCTAAAAATTTTTTTAAGTTAAATATATTTCTTAGTGAAGTTTTTTCTTATATTGAAATCCTCTGCTCACTTATCTACTAAACAGAACATGATTTGTGTGTGTGTGTGTGTGTGTCCTGATAAGATGCTGTAAATAATCTCATTTCCTCATATCTTATCATGAATTAAGATATCTTGAAAAATGTTTTGACAGTTTACCAATTATGTTAGAAAAATCCTGAAACCATTTACTTATATGGAAAATTAAAATATAACGTGAAATTAGGTTTCTCATCTTCACTATAGTTACTTTCAACCTTCAAGTAGCTTCAAAAATTTAATTTCAAATGAATACACCTTCAAAATGATTCCTTACTGCAACCATTTTGAAACTTTAATTCCATAAAGATACAAAATCTGTGGGGTTTGTAAAGCTGTTTAAAAGCCCAAATAAAAAGCCACTAGGCTTTTAATTGTTTAAAAGTGTGTATATAGATGAAATGAAACTGACTCATGAACTATTGAGTCTGGAATTTGTAATCATAAATCTTATACTTGTAAACAAAACCTAACAAATCAGAGCCCACAAATTTCCTTCTTTCGTAATCTGAAACAAAAATTTTAATGATTTTGCACGTACAGGGAAAATTAAGGGTGCATTTAAAATATTTATTAGTTAGCTATAACTCAGTTTTTAAGAGTCTGGGGTATAATCAGAGACAGTTGAACATATTGAACATTCTGGTGCTGAAATATAGGACAACATCCAAGAATGAAACACCGGGATTTAATTTAACCCTAGAACTCATATTTGTGTTAGGAATTTTTGTTTAAAATAATGCTTCTTCCTCGTTCCATTAACAACTCCCATCTCCATGCCACGTTCAATATGAAG